ATCCCTTCTCTTCCATTCTCCTCTCGGGATCTTGGGCACGCACGCACACACACACACACACGCCCGGCGTGAGTTTTAAGCCACCGGGTCTAGAACTCGAACTGCGGTCGACTACATGGGAGTCCAGCAATATAGCCATTATGCCAAATGCTGGTCCCTGCATGCTCACAGCTTTAAGAATTCCATGGGGTGGGGGCCGGAAGGTGATATGGTGGTTTAAGGTGCTGGACTCTCACATGGCCTATGACAGTTCGAGTCCCGGACCTGGCAGCTCGCTTTCTCATTTTTTCTCTCTCTTTCTCTCTCTCTGTATTTTTCTGGTCAAATTGAATAATAATAATAATTTAATTTAATAATAATAAATAATAAACTAATAGTTAAATAAATCATTCTTTTTTTTTTCAAGAGAAAGAGATTTTGCTCTAAGGCACATGTGTTCACCGGAGAGGCAGAGAGAGAGAGAAAGTGAGGAATCACCCCCAGGAGGATAGCCATGCTACAATCCCTTCTTCTCCATCCTCACTTACTCTCTCTCTCTCTGTTTCTCTTGGTGAATACACTTATAGCAAATTTTTAAAAATACTACTAATAATTATAAGTAAAATTAAATAAATATGTAATTAAAAATAAAAGGAAAAAATACCTAAAAAAAGAAAAAGAATATCAAGGCCCCAGAGGGCACAACTGGCACCAAGGGCTGGGTTGAGCTCTGGGTTCAGACCAGATTTTCCATTTGAGTCCAGACCACAGGACCAATTGCCTGCCACCTGGTTGCCTCTTTTTGGCTATGCCATGGGCACCTGGTCCAACAGGTCCCAACCGAACATCCCAACCTGCGCCTCCTCTGGGGTCCCCATCTCAGGAATGGCGCAATTACCCACCATGAGTCCAAGTCAGAGACCAAGAGTGCCCTTGGCCCCTTCCTCTCCATCCGCGCTGAACCCAGGTACGCCTTTCCACACTCCACCACCCAGACCCAGGCCACTGTCACCCTGCTCTGCACCACCACAGTAGCCTCCTGCGTGGCCTCTACCCTGGGACCAGAGAGACCTTCCTAAAAATCCACATCTGACCACCTCGGCCCCCTGTCACGTGACTCTTGGCCTTCCCCTTCTCTCCCAGCCCATGGAGCCCCACTGGGAGAAGGGGAGCAGGGGCCAATTTTCTCACCCTCCCAGTTCCAGCTCCCTGCTGCCCCAGCTGGCTCCCTGTGCTCTCTGCTTGCCTGCCCTTCCAGTGGGCCCTCTGCTCTGGTCCTTTCCATCCACTGCTCTCAGCGCACTCCCCGTGGTCCCCATGCCTGCCCTCCAGGGGGGTCCCTCTCTAAGTGACTCTCACCAAGTCTCTCTGTGCTTTCTCTTTTGTCCTCCACAGTGTCCCCTCAACGTTCTGACAGACACCATGACTCCAGGAGGCGATGGTCCTATTTTGGTTATATTTTGGAGCAGCCTTTTCAGTTCTTAGACAGTAAACATTTGACGGTTAGAGTAAGAATTCCTTATCCCTGCCCCCTGGGCAGCAGTTTACAGTGCTGTAGTCCTTTCATGTTTGTTCTCATGTGATCTTTTTTTTTCTTTTCATTTTTTTTTAGAGTTTTTTTTTTTTTTTTTTTTTGAGAGGTTTTCGCTACAGGGCGCATGCACTCGCCAGACAGACAGAGAGAGACATAGACAGAAAGCGAGAAGTCATCCCCCAGGGGGGATGGTCATGCCACAATCCCTTCTCCTCCATTCTCCTCTCGGATCTTGGGCATGCACGCACACGCACCCGGCGTGAGTTTTAAGCCGCCGGGTCCGGGACACAAACCACGGTCGACTACGTGGGAGTCCAGTGACATAGCCATTACGCTAACTGCTGGTTCCCTTTTTTGAGGTTTTTTTACTATTGGGTGTGTGCGCTTGCCAGAGAAAGAGAGACAGAGAGAGAGAAAGCGAGAAATCACCCCCCTGGGGCGGGGGGATGGCCACACTGCTCTCCCTTCTCCTCCATTCTCCTCTCAGGATCTTGGGCACGCACGCACATGCGCCCGGCGTGAGTTTATGCCACTGGGTCCGGGACTCAAACCGCGGTCGACTACATGGGAGTTTAGCGACATAGTCATTACATTAACTTCTGGTCCCTCATATGATCTTTTCAAAGCTGTGGGTTGGGAAAGACTGGGGTTATTATACCTCATTAAACAGATATCTGAGGAAATGGAAGCTTTAAGATTTGCCAGAAACCACAGAGCCAGAATCTGAACCCACGTTCTCTAACACCATACCCGTGGTCTGAACTGGAGAAAAAAGATAATCTGTTTACTGTCCCAGAACCCTTTCATGGTTCTTTCCTTTATGCCAGTTGCAAATTTGCTAAACCCAGCCTTGCTCCTGGTTTCCATTAACCAGCAACATCAAAACAGTTGCCCCAAACAGGGTCTTATCCAGCATGACCCAGCCCAGGTCCTCCTCTAAAAACCCACCTTGTGGTTACAGTAAGCATCTGGGTGAAGTGGTTCTGCCTGAAGCCCCGGTGGGTGCTTCGCCGGTGGATGAAGCGTCTCTGGAATGTTCTTTGGCCTCCTCTGGGCTCTTGGTTATGACTGCTTCTGATGAGCTGGTGTTCTGCCCAGTTCTCTTCACAGCACCCAAAAACTCACAGAAAAGACAAACACGCAGTCAAATATTTACCCGAGAGATGAAAGCAAGCGGCAGCCTCTTCCTCATCTTAGGACACTGCTGGCTATGCTTCTGCTCTTCCTGCCTCTCGTGTGGGAAGGCGGAAGCTGCTCTCCCTTCTTCCTCTCCCTTGGACTCTCGCTGTCCCCTCTCAGGCCCCTGCTGTGGGCACTGGCCTCTGAACTGTCCAAGAGGACCAGCAGCTAGGGCCCCTTGGGCTGACTGTAAAAATTATTATAGGCAATAAACTAGGACTCTGCCTCAAGACAATAAACTGGAACCACTGGCTTCCAGATCCTTCTTGGAAATAATTCAGCCCTTTTGCTGGAAAAAGAGCTGGAGAGGTTCAGAACTGAACCCCTCACACATAGCAGAGCCAGCTATGATCTGCCAGGTATTCCTGCTCCCCTTCCATAAAGTCGGGCTGTTGCTAGACAGGGTCCTCATAGCCAAGTTCTGCTTCCCAGTTGCTCTGTCATCTGGAAGTAAATATGGCTGGCTGTCTCCAGCGAAATGTGACCAGAAGTGGTATATGCCACTTCCAGGCCAAGACAGAGGAAGAAAGTACATCTTTTCTTCCTTCTCCTTCTCCATCTGCCGGCTAAACTCTAAGGCTCTTAAGGAATTGGAATCCCTGAGTCCTTGAATCACTATGTAGAGAAAATTGTCCTCCTCTCACAGACTAGTGTATGAGCAAGAAATAAAATTCTATTGTAACAAGCCAGTGCCGTGTGGGGCTTGTTTGTTACAGCAGCTAGTGCTGCTTTGGCTAACATACACAGAATATGGAGGATTTACGAAACTGCCATGTGGCCCCAGTTCTTCTTCTTCTTTTCTTCCTCTCCTTCACCTTCTTCTTTTCACTTTTGATGTAGGGTGTGTGCATTCTTCTGGGGAGAGAGAAGAAAGTGAAAAATCACCCCCATAGGTGGGATGACCACACCACAATCCTCTGCCCTCTTGGGATTTTGGACACACACACACACACACACACACACACACACTTAAGCCACAGGGTCCAGGACTCGAACCATGCAGTCAAGCCATGTGGGATCCAGCCTCCCCACTGACCACACCACCTGACTAGGCCCCAGTTCTTTATCATAAGAATAAAGCCTCATTTTAACTTAATCACCTCTTTAAAGGTTCTGTTTTTAAATTCAGTCACATCCTAACTTACTGGGAGTTGGGTACTTTAACATGTGAATATGAAAGAGGTAGGGGCTTGCGATGGGGGACACAATTCAACCCATGACACTCTTGATCTAACCAGCAATGCGGAGTTCAGAGGACGTGGATTAATGAACGGAACCGTAGGGACAAGCCCAGGCCACTTGCATTTGCATACTCCCATCCCTCCGCTCCTGCTAGGAATACCTCCTTCTGGTTCTGCCTATCGACTTCACTTCAATTTTTTAAATCCTAAGTCAAGCATCGTGCCTGCTGCAAAGCATCTGCCGATCATCATGATGTGCTCGCGCTGTTCGTGGCGGGGTCTGTGTCGCTCTCCTGTCACGTGCACAGGCATTCTTCATCTGTTCCCTTAACGCACTCTGATGGAGCAGCATAAACGTGGCCCGGAGGGCGGGCTTGGGAACCAATGCCACCGTCTGGTAGCTGTGTTTCACTGGTCAAGTTTTACCCCTCGGAGCCTGTTTTATGTGGGGGAAGCTCTCCCTATTGTATGGACATACGAGGGTGAAATGAGCTATTATATGGAGAAGGCTCAGGGTCCTGACACCCAGGGAGCACTCAGTGACCACTAGCTCGCTGCACCTGCAGTGAGCCAACTCTGGCTGAGATGCTGAGTACACGGTCGCAGCGCAGTTGACTGTGTCCAAGTCCCAGCTGCCCCGCCAGATCCCAGTGACCCGGAAGCCATGGCACCATTGTACTCAGCACGATGTCTGGGATACTGGGGGGCAGGGGATGGTGGTGGCCACAGATGCTTGTTCTTCAAAAGACAGTGGTTTAGGAAAAATGAAAATGAGAAATACAAAGTTGAGTACAGCACAACTCTCTTACTGGGCGTCTAGAAACAAAGAAACACCGTAAGTGTATTTTGCCTGAAAGCAGGCCCTCTGCTTCACTGAGTAATTCTCCACGCATCTCTTCACATAGTCCGGAGAAAAGTCTTGTAAAGGTCTTCTTCCAGGCCCCAGAGAAGCTATCTCTCCCAGCTGGATACTTCCTGGCCCCACTGCCCAGGCTTGAAATGGATGTTTTAAATTATCAGATGGTCAAGGGGCTCCCCTCACAATTCTGCAATTCTCTGCACACCAATAAGGAGGAGTCCTTGTTGAATTGTCACCGACCGCCTAGGAAGGTTGCGAAGGCCGTTACCTTCAAGTGTAGAAAAGGTAAGACATGTGTTCCCAAATGCCTAAATTCAGGAACGTTTCATATGGAGTAATAAGGACCCTTTTCTAGAAGCTACCACGCTCCACATGTGGCCACTTTGAACTCTCAGTAACTTTGCTTGGTAGATTTCATTTTCCCTCTTCCATCCAGGCTTTCTCATCCAAGTATTGAATTTGAATACAGAATTTACCCTGTATCTTCAGAACATTTCAACATTTGATTTCTCTCCACTGTGCTAACTTATGCAAGTCTTTTAGAATACTGCTTCTTCCACCCAATATATAATCATTTCTCTTGCTAGCTTTGGGGCATTTGAATACTCTCCCTGACTTGATCCAGGCTAATTGAAAAATAAATAAATAAATAAAGAGAACAAAGCCCTGTGGTACTCCACCACAGACCTCTTTCCAAGATCTATGTAAGAGCCATATGGTTGACAGAGTGAGAAAACAGCGGAGTGACTACACCAGAACCCAGCTTAGAAAGAGTTACTGTATTTGGTCTCCGTGTTTAGCAGGAGTCAGAGGTTGGCGAGGTCACCGAGGGAAATCCTACGGCATAGCATGAAGGCAGTGCTTGTTTCCTGAATGTTGGGAGCTTATCATGGGATGGCTTTTATTTACTCCATAGAGATAGGCTTATTCATGAAATTTAGACACAAAATAACTCAGGTTTCTGGAGACATAGAACAGTTTCTTTATTCAGTAGTATTGATGGCTTTCTGGGGCAGATGTGACCTTGACTAAGCATTGTTGTTCTCTTGTCGGAAGACAATGAAGGTAATCTATATTTCGATCCTGACCTTTGTCTGTTCGCAAACCGGCTTGGTTCTCCCCTGCTGGCAGAATAAAGACAGACTCCTTAGCTGGAGATTTACTGACCTTTGTGCTTGGGTTCCAACTTATCTTTTCAGACTGCCTAGTTAAGACTCTTCTCTGGGTGAGCCCACTCAATTTCATTCATGCCACAAGTATTTATGAAGTAGCTAGTACCAAGGACCACGTGAGTCCCGAGCATAGGTGCTCTTGGGATACCCCTTGTTCCTTCTCCCCAGGTCGGCCAAGACCCTGGCCTAAGCACGGTACCCTCCCTGGGAGGGTTGTAGTGCTTTGCAGTTTCACACAGAAAGCAGAGACAGGGAAGAGACGGGTACACAAGAAAGTGGACTGGCACAAACTACTGTGATGGGGCTACCAGGGACAGGAGGAGGAGGGCAGATCCTGCAAAGGCCAGATCTAGAGTCAGGAATGGAGTCCATTTAAACTGATGCTGCAACCATGTGCAAGGAACAGAGCCCTGGGCTGGGACACCATACACCTGGGTCCTCACCCAGCTCTGCCTGGACAGCTGCACACTCTTGAAGAAGTCCCTTCCTATCCTGTGCTACAGTCACCCCCTCTGTAAAGTGAGAGTATCAGAGGTGGTTCCTTTTTCCTTTCTCTTTCTTTCTTTCTTTCTTTTCTTTTCTTTCTTTCTTTCTTTCTTTCTTTCTTTCTTTCTTTCTTTCTTTCTTTTTCTTTCTTTCTTTCTTTTTCTTTCTTTCTTTCTTTCTTTCTTTCTTTCTTTCTTTCTTTCTTAGTCCCTTCCTATCCTGTGCTACAGTCACCCCCTCTGTAAAGTGAGAGTATCAGAGGTGGTTCCTTTTTCCTTTCTCTTTCTTTCTTTCTTTTTCTTTCTTTCTTTCTTTCTTTCTTTCTTTCTTTCTTTCTTTCTTTCTTCTTTTTTCCTTTTTAATTCTTTTTTTTCCCCTCTTTTTTTTTGGAGAGGTTTTTGCTATAGGGCGCGTACACTCACCAGAAAAACAGAGAGAGAGAGAGAGACAGAAAGCGAGAAATCACCCCCAGGGGGGATGGCCACACCACAATCCCTTCTCCTCCATTCTCCTCTTGGGATCTGGGGCACGCACACACATGCGTCCAGCGTGAGTTTAAGCCACCGGGGCCGGGACTTGAACCACAGTTGACTACATGAGTCCAGCAACATAGCCATTATGCTAACTGCTGGTCCCCTCTTTCTTTTTCTTTCTCTTTTAGTTTTGTTATTGGGCGCATGGGCTTACCAGAGAAAGATATAGAGACAGAAGGAAAGTGAGAAATCACTCCCAGGGGTATGGCCACACCATGAACCACCAGGACCAGGACTTGAACTATGCAGTTGGTCATTTGTGATCCAGCTACCTTAACCTCCATGCCACCTGCTGGCCCCAGAGGTGGCCTCTAAAAACCCAGCATAGGTGTCATCTCAATGGAGCCTTCCCTGACTGCCTCACTGGTCCCACTGCTTCAGGCAGGGTCATACCTGTGAACATTCAGTGATTTCTGAAAGCATCCCATCTCTCCTCCTGACCAAGAGCTCCTCCTCCTAGTACTTTGGCTCATAGTTATTACGAAGTATGTACTGAATGGAATGAAATATGGGAAACTTTGCCACTTCTAGATACATAGTTCCTGAATTTTCCACAAGGTGGCGCTTTTCTACAAGTGGCCACAGCACTCACCCTGCATTTCCGCGGAGGTTCTAAAGAGATGCTGATAAGAGAGGAGAACCAGGACGGAGTGTCCTGGGACGCTCATCCTCCGTCCGCCTGGGTGTATGCTGTCCCCTTCCTCTCCTTTCCTGTGTTGGAAAAAGTCTTCCGCTTTTATTCTCAGAATCCTCATGCATACATAATGTCACCTCTTTCATTAAAAGGAACAGAGCTCTTAT